GAAGCTATAACACAAAAAATGAAATTAAATGCAGAGAAAAAAGATACTCCCTCCTTCTCACTAAATTTTTCCCTTTTAGATTTTGAAATTGTAGTTATGTGCTTAGTCAAACTGAGACAAAAATAATGGGACGGAGGGAGTATCAAACAAGCATCAATTGGGGAAGACATTTACATGTACATCATATTTAACGGTACCAATCATAACTCAGCAATCTATGCTTTACAAAATTAAGAATAAAATAGTCCATCTTAAATCTCGTCTCTCAAAAAGGATATATAGTTGGTCAGACTTGGTTCATTCAAGTAAGTTTTGTAATAACATTCGCATAAAACTGCCATGTATGAATAGAATATGTTCGCATTGGACAATTATATGGGTTTCTCTTGACTCGTTCTCGCTTATATATAATTGCCTCTACCTGATTTGTTTCTAACAAAGCAAGCTTAAATTTGATATTGATAGTCAACCCTTATGAATATAATCAATGGAGACTTCTACAAACAGCAAACTTATACCAAAATTCTCAACATTATTCACTCGGTACCTTTAAAACCCTAAATTTGCAACATTTCTAATTCTAAAATCAAACACTTTAGAATTCGTTTATTTCACCTATGGAAACACCTAACATAAATTTCCTCCAATCATGTAGAGAAGAAAAAAAGGTACCTGATTCAAAATGAAGCTCTTGCCTTGACGAGCCCGGCCACAGACCGAAACGACTCCAATTGGTTCCTTAACAAGCTGCAAAGCCGCGACCGCTTCCGGATCCATCCTGAACTTCCCTTTCTCGTCGCAGTACAACAACCGAACCGGCCTTGCGGGACCATTCATCGAAGGCCCCGAAGCCGACGCCAGTGGAGACGCCGAATGACGAAACGATTGCGGCGACTCATCAACGGCAGAGTCTTTTCCTCTACCAAAAAATTTCATCATCTTTTCTTCAGATATTCCGCGGTTCACTTAATTTTCGGTCTAATTTATCTTGGCTTTTTGTTTCAATTTTAGAAATTTGTTGGGAGACTTTGTTTTTGCAAAGTTTTGTTGCAAGAAAGAGATATTTAAAATTTGGAGAGGGAAACGATTCAGGCTTTTGGGCTATTCATGCGATATTGAATTACACTCTGTACGTAATTTCTTTTCTTAATGTACATGCATTATATGGGTGTTTTTGTCTTTTCCTAAAACTTAATCTAATTCCCTGATTCCTTCTCCTTGAACCGCGGCGTTGTAATAAAGCTACTTTAAGGATTTTCTTCTCTTTTTCTTTTGTAACGAACTTTATTTTTACTCTAAATAACTATAAGGGTAAAGTACATTAATAGTCCCCTGGCTATAGGATATTTCTTTTTTGAGTCCTCTAACTATATAAAATAATTCATTAAGGATATGACGTTGTTTTGTTGAGTCATATGAATATTAAAAATTATAAAATAGACACATAACTAACTTGGGACACTTGCTTGTGAAGCAAGACAGTTAACTATTGAGTTAAGCTAATCATTTTGGTTATTTTCACCACATTTTGTGTTTAACTTATATAATGATATTATTATAAAATAAATATTTTTTGACGATTATAAGATTAAAAATTGAGAGATTTTAAATTAATGACAAAAAACTTAGTCATTTAATTACCACGTGAATTTTTTATTATGCTAAACTTAATACTTGTCTCATTATTAAATTAAAAGACTAATTTTCACTTTATTATAAATAAAAAATAACTAAATAATTTATATAGTTTTATAAATTTGTATTAAATCATTCTGAAAATTATATTTATAATATTTTAAAAATATTTATTTAATTTTTAAAATTATATTATTTATTTTTTGAAATAATATTATTTATTTTTTAAAATATTTATTTAACTTTTTATTATACTAAATTTAACAGTCCCTCTGTCCCATGAAATTTGTCTCTTATTGACATTTTTTGTCAATTTTTTTTACTTTGACTCACTACTATTTAAAATTTATTATTGATAAAAAATATAAAAATATATTTTAAAAACATTAAATCAAGTATTTTTTAAATATATATTTTATAAATTTTAATTAATTAAAATAATCATGGTCAAATTTTATAAATTTTAACTTTTAAAAAGTCAATAAGAGACAAATTTGATGGGACAGTTAGAGTACTTACATATATCATTATTAAATTAAAATAATAATTGATTTAATTTTAAATAAATATTATAATATTATAAATAAATATGATTTGAAAAATTAAATCAATTAATCTTTTAATTTAATAATAATAGAAGTATTAAGTTCAGTATAATAAAAAAGATTCACACTATAATTGAGTGGATAAACTTTTGGTCATTAATTTAAAGTGTATTATATTTGAATCTTATAATCATTGAAAAATATTTATTTTGTGATGATACTGTTATATAACTTAAATGAGTAATATGGTGAAATTAACTCAAATAACTAGTTTAACTCAATGGTTGAGTGCCTTGCTTCTCATGCAAGTGTCCAAGGTTTAGCTCATGCTAGGAACAAGAATTATTTCTTTCATTTTATCCTCATAGGTGGTGACACGTGTGACAACTTAATTGGTTGAATAAAATTAATTTAAAAATTATAACGAGGAAAAAGAAAGGTAACGTGGAATTTTTAAAAGAAATTGACATGTCATTTCACATCAGCATTTTCGTTAAATTTTTAATAGTATGGTATCAAATTGAAATTTAAACTAAACATTAGGTATGCTTTTGAAAAATAAAAGGTTTAGGTACTAAAATAAAACAAAAGTAATAAGTTAGGTATTAAACGTGTAATTTATCACTTTAATATTTATATAATAAAGATGATTTAATTAATAATATGTTTCTATATGCAAGGTGTATTGTACACTCATCTATAGTATAAATATATATTTAAAACTTATTATCACCTCAACGTATGATGTTTCAACAAACTTTGTTGTTATCTTTTATAGTGTTCCAAGTTTCAACCAGATTCGTTGAACTTTTATTTGTTCAGATTCATTTAAAATGGGCCTTTTTGGAACAACCATTCTTTCACTTTGGGCCTAAAGTTTATAGCTATTCATCAGATTTAAAATCCCAAAAAACTCCTTCTGATATAATATTTTCGTATTTAATTCTTAAAAGGTATTTGATATTTGTAATTTTACAATCAATAAATCAAATTCAAATACTCTGTATCCTTTGAACCTATCCAACACGCCATTTTGTCAAAGAATAATAGTTCATCAAAGGTTTAGAAATTACATCAAAACACCAAGGATAAACTTCAACGAGGGACCTCAAACCAAACAAGGGAGTTATTTTGTAGCGACTGAAACCAGCTTACAATTTTTCCCAATCTTGTTCACTTCTTTCTCTGCCAGTAACCACAACCATCATCACCATGTCGAAGAACCAGCTTGGCTTCAGTTAATTCATGGCCATCTTTCTCCATATTTATCACTATGTCTATGATAATCACCTTCCCCTTGGGATGGCTTCTCTACATCTCTTCAGTATCTTCACGCAATCCTCGTCGCTAAAAGCATGTAAAACAAGCTGCAAAAACCACTCATCTCAAGAATCAGATCAATGGAAAGCATGACTTTCAAGCTAAGATTTACTAATTCAACATGAAAATGACAAGTTTTGCTGACCTTCATTAGAATGGCATCTGCAGAAGGGATATACTGAAACAGATCGCCTGCAACAAATTTCAAGTTCCCTGTAGATGTAGTCGGAACGTTAGCCAGAACACGAGGCAGGTCGAACATGGTGCATTTCAGTTGGGGATGTGCTTCTGATATGACCCTGGCTATGGTTCCGGTACCGCCACCTACATCAACCGATGAATTTAGATCCTCAAAAACTGGTTTGCTGTCTTTGACGACCAAATTCATCATTTGAGAATCACTTTCCATTGCATCATAGAAAAGAGTTTTGAACTCCGGATCATGGTCCATATACTCCCAAAACGTTTTCCCATTTGCAGTCTCAAATGGCCTCTCCTTGGTTCCATGAATTCAATCTCCCAAGAAATGCCATGGCATCATCAGGGCAGGGCTGAGCATCGACACAACAAAGGGTGACAAACAATTGATCTTTTCTTTGATGAGTATCTTGGAGAATGGGGTGAGAACATATGCTTCATCTTCTTGGCTTTTTTCGAGTTTCGTTGTCGTAGCGAAGAAACCGAGAGCCGAGGCCAATTCGGATAGAGTGATGTGTTCCCCATGGTTATGGATCGCATCTGGGATTCCTAGCTGAATAGCACACTTGAGTGACATTGAACTTATGTAGTTGGATATATGTTTATATAAATGAGCTTGAGCTTGAAAGGATTCAATGGCTTCTTCATCCATGACTGAGTTGATCTCTTTACTTCTCAGCGAGTTCGACCTTATGTGAGTGGTTGAAAACCAGATAAGGATTGACTATTGAGAAATGTACTTTTTCCTAATTAGATGATTAATATATTTATTATTATTATTATTACAAACTTTCTTGTGTCATACATCTTTTACAAATTATCTTATCTATAATTATCTTGATTAAAAAAATTAAATTATTCAAGAGATTTGGACTCAATCATTCAACTATTAAAATTATCAATTTGAGCCTTAACAAGTAAATTTAAAATTTTAATCACCTTATAATAGAGTATAACAATTGAAAGATATGACTGTATTGATAATTTACTTGTCTATCATACAAGTAAATTATCTATTTTTATTCTTGATTTAATCCCAGTTTTTATGTATTTGGGAAACTGGGTTTCTTTTACATATGTTACTGATTTTCCCACTTTTATGGGGTATTAGTTTTATGCATTTGATGTAAATTTATTAACCATGATTTCAATAATATCTTATAGTCTGGTTTCCTCTTAATGGGGGTAAGATATCTGTGGCAATCTCAGTTTCTTTGATTTGACGTGGGGTGTTGGCCTTATGATTATTGGAAACTGATTACTACTGATTATTGGAATCAGTTTTCATCTGATTGGTCTTAAATTGTGTTTTTATTGTGCTTTTGATTTCTGGGGTTTTTTTATTCTAATGAGGAAAGGATCAAAAACCAACTGCAAGTCAGTAACCCGCAAACTCTTCAAGGACAAGGCAAAGAACCGGGTAGATGATCTTCAGGGAATGTTCTTGGATTTGCAGTTTGCGCCGAAGGTGAGCCGCAACGTCTATCCTACGGTCCTTGAAGAGCAAGTCCATCAGATGCTCCGTGAATGGAAACCCGAGCTCAATGAACCTTCTCCAGCTTCTTCATTGCAACAAGTTAGGACTGCCACAATCTTTTCTCCGTATTAATTGCATGTATATGTTTAGTTTGTGTGAATTGTGGTTTAGTATGTTGATAGAAGGGTTTGGTTTGGCAATTGTAGAAGTTAACTGAGATTAATGCTTATGAGTTTTGATATTAATTAAGGTTGAACATTGTTGATTGGCTAAGTAATCAGTGGAAAGTGACAAAAGGATAATTCCGGTGGTGATTTCGATGGTTTTTTGGAACGTTAAGGTGGTTTATAGTGGAGAAGTGTGTCCTTTGTACTCTATATTAGATGGGTATTTATAATGCACTGGATAGGTGTTAGTCAGGAATTGTCGAATCATTGATCCTGATTAGATGTCCTAGAGTGAATGCTTAGACTAGGAGACCACGTGTGTCAACACATGATCGTTGGTGATATTATGAGGGTGTATTCACAAGAATAGAAGGTAATTGATACATAGTTACCTGTAGTTTGCGCTTTGTGTGTCTGAGAATTTACATAGATCCTACATTTGCATTCCCGAAAGTTCACACTGCTTATACGGATGTTCGCGGAACTGAAGATTCGCATGTAGTAATAAACATAATGTCTTAAATGTGTGATCGTGAATTGTTATCCTTGTGGTGACTTACAGGGCGGAAGTCTTGGTTCATTTCCACCAGACATTTGTCAGCTGTTGCAGCTTTACGAGGGGTAAGCTGATGCAACTAGTATATTGTCTGTGCTAAAGCCTGAGCCTGATAATCAAAACCTGCAAGTAGGAGACACTGCTGCTTTCCAAGAGGTGATTTCTTTTTCCCATTGGATTATTCGTGTTCCATTTTCATTTAGACTTTGCTAATGTTCGACTGTAAATTAGGTTGTTTAGACAACATGAGTTTCAAGTTAACTTGAGCTTTCTACGGAATGGAATTTCTTAATTATTGGAATTGGCATTTGAATCTCTCTTATAAACAAAGGAATTGGAGCTGTATATTTTTATATTATATGTTCAAAGATGTTTTAATTTTCTTAAACATGGTAAATGGGAGAAACAATGAAAATTTATGTTGTTTGTTTCTCTATTTTTTTTTCTCGAATGATGTTGAACGTGATATTCAAGAAAAGAAGAATGAAATGGCTTCGTGTTAACAATACCCGGCCATTGAAAATACTTCCTACAGCATTCTCGGATGATAACCCGTGAGCAGCATCATTCATAATAGCATCTCGAAAACATCATCTTAATAGTATCACATAATTGCATTACGTCAACATAAACTGGTTAGTACACAACACGAAATAGTATCTGATAGCCCTTCCACAAAGTGTTTGCTTGGCATATAATGGATCAGTTAGGCTATTCACATCATAAGATGCTGTTAAATATGCATACCTGCACACCAACTATTCCCCCCAGAGAAGCAACATAATTACAGGCTTAGCAAAGTTCTAAAATGTTGATGGCTACTACTAATCATCCCATTCGGATGTTGAAACCCGTTTTCTGGGCACATAAACATCATCATCATCATCCTGATCCACATCCTCTTCTTCAGGGTTGTTAACCCGCTCACATTCATCTATCCATTCACTGTATCTGAAAAAAACGAGAATAAACATACAAGAGGGATCATGCAAGAGAAACAAAGAGTAAATACTAAACACCACATTGATAGGAACTTACATGTCTATAGGTTCAGTCAAAGCTGCAAACACAGAAAAAGAAGAAGAAGAAGGAAACATGGATGTGTTAACAAAAGGTTCCCAACTTACATGTCTATAAGTTCTTTACCAGCTAAGTAGGGGTGTAAATGAACCAAGCTTGAATGAACAAGAGTGTGTTGGCGTTCATTTGTTTATTTTAAAAGGTGTTCATGTTTAGTTCATGTTCGTTTAATTTTTAATATCGTGTTATTGTTCGTTTATTTATTTTTGAAGGTGTTCGTGTTCGTTCGTTTAACATTCATGAACATGTTTGCGAGCGTTAAACGAACATGTTCGTTTAGCATCCGTGAACATGTCCGTTTAACGTTCGTTTATATGTTCGCAAACATGATCATTTAACTTTCGTGAACATATTCATTTGCAAGCTAAAAATGATAAAATTACACTACTAGTGCTGAAAATTCCTTAAGCTTCATAGTTTAAACTCCAAATTTCACAATGTGTTCAATTTAGTCCCTATATTCACTAATATTTAAAATGTAAAAAAATAAAAAGCAAACGAGCTAATAAATGACTTTATAAACGAGCTTGTTCGTGAACATAAACGAACCGAACACACCTCTGTTCATGTTCGTTCATTTATTAAATGAACATAAATTTTTTGTTCATACTCATTTATTAACTTAATAAACAATTATAACAAACATTATACGAACGGTTCCCCGAATGCTCTACTCATTTACACCCCTACAGGCTACAGCTAAGGTTAAACAGTATTAAGTACCTGTTATGACAGTGCTGAAACTTTCTTGGCATATCCTGCAAGATGCTTCACCAATCAAGTTCTTCATATCACTGAAATAGATGAACGCCAATACTTAGCGCCAAGCAATCATAACCATATCATCGTATATAAATTCTTATGAGACAAGACATCATATTTAACATGATAAAAGAATTTTTTCCATTCATCATCAAAGAAGAGAAAAATTAGGTTTACCCATCACAGTAAAAAAGCATCGACTCAAATTATCTCAGTTATTAGATCAAAGGGTAAATTTTCTCATTAAACAAGTAAAAGAAGTTTATACTTACATGCGGCACTCAACACTCGTTCCATGGTTACAGAAGGGACAGCTAAAAACGGTGTCAAGCTTATCCATTCGCTTCTTAGGAGCAGGCTTTGCTCTTGATTTCCTCTTTCCCATACTTCAATTCCTTCAACATATCAATTTACAAACAAAACAGGCATAAAAATTCTGAAATTACGACAAATTCAAAGAATGTATCACCAAAATCAGATTCTCCGCTTTAAACCCTAATTACTTATTTTAGGCATTTTGGGGGACAAATAATTAGGTTAAGCAGTAAAACAAAAATGTTTTTCTTTTCCCGCAAATTTCTTACAAATATTTTAAATCTTTCATTGATTTTCCTTTCTTCTGAAGGATAAACAACATGAAAAAGGGAAAATTTCAAAGTCTAACCAATCCGATCGATGAAAATATCCAACCGATTTAACAAAGGAAAAAATTAAAATTTATTAAAAAAACGAGTGAAAACGAATATAAATTGAATTTCATCAACGAGGAAAACAAAACAATAATCAAAACTTACTAGAGGGCGATCTCGATAATCGAGAGGAGCCGAAACCCAAACTTTTCTATGCTTTTTCGAAGGAGAGGTAGAGAAGGGAAACATTTTTTGTTTTAAATTTATAAAGTGTTATGCTGTATCGAACGACATCGTTTTATAGTAACAGTTGCCGTTTTCCTGACAGCTTATTAAGCCCGTATTTAGCCATGTGTCCATATTGCAAACATGCGCATTCCCTTCAACGTTCGAAAATGAAAATAAGGGAAAAATACACATCAGAGCATTCCATTAAATTTTAATAATAAATGGATCACTTATTTTAACATTTGACTTATAAATCAGATTTAAGATGTAACGTTTGATTTATTTGATGAGTCAAGTTTATTTAAAATGACGCCCATTTTTTAGTCTTGAGGAAGAGGAATCAAGAAAAGAAATTAACACATATATACTATAGAAGCAACATCGAAAGATCATACAAAGTTTTCAGTAAATATATTATCACGATCACCTTTCGGGTGGGTCCGGAATTTGGCTTCGACTTGAAATAAAATATTAAGAGTCGCCACCGATCATTTAAAAAAAATATTTAGGTTGATCGGATACCATCTTACCTGATCTGCGTTTTACCAGAAATATGTCGGGCTCGGGAGTTGGTTACAGTCAATGAAGGATTAGCACCCTTGAACTACCCTTTCGGTACTATTTAATTTATCGGTTGTCTTAATTGCAAAAATTAAAATTAAAATTTAAAAGTTTGATCATAATTATTTACCTTTTTGATCAATTAAAATTATCCCTAAAAATCATAAATAAAGTAAAAAAAAAATAAAACCAACAAAGACAAAGAGTGAGTATTAAAAGATAAAATATAAAATAGGTAAATAAATAAATAAAATGGAGTGAAAGAGAATTTATATAAAAAAAAATTAGAAATAATTAAAATTCACGGATCGAATTAATTATAGGAATGAGCTGCAAGAGAAAAACAGAAACTTAATAGATTAAATAGCAAAAAAAATAAAGTACTAAAATAGAACAAACAGAAAATTAAAGGATTAAAGTAAAAGGACCTAATAAATAAATATAAACAAATAAGATCCTCAACAATCAATTTAAAATAAATACATGAGCCTAAATTGTAATAAAATCTAATTATGTTGACTAAAATGTAATAAAACATAAAATAATAGCTAAATAAAAAATAAACAAGGATCCGAATAAAAAAAATTAAAATAAAAATGGCTAAATTCGAAGATTATTAAAATAAATATTCATTTTCGAAACACATAACAAAATATATGACCAGAGTGCAATAGGCATTAAAATAAGGGAGCTTAAAAGTGATTTTACCCTGTTAGGACCAAAGAATAAAACACACTAAACATGAGGTCCTTATGCGTGATTTAATCATTAATATATATGAACAAAATATAAAGCTCCTAAAAACTAGTGGCCTGATAAATTATTTAATCAAAATGTTTTAAAGCTTAATATCTTTTCCTTTATTCGTTCTACACGTGAACCAAATTAGTTTTTTCATTTATAGTCTTTTTGATTTCTTTTCCTTCACAGAGCAACCATGGCAACCCAAATTTCCAGTGAACTCGAGATCCACACCGACTACTCAACTCTAGATCCGATGACGACGACACCCCTACTCCGACATACTGCAGCAAGGTAACTTAACTCTCTATCTCTATTTTAATTATTTTTTTAAACTCATGGATTTTACATTAACTACGAACAAAATTACAAACTAAAATTCTTATTATTAGTTGCATTCGAATTGAACAAATAAATTAAAGAAAACTGAAATATAAACTGAACTACCTTAGGATTGCTGGAAAAAAAATCTGTATTTTATTGCTATCCCCTTCTGAAAAACGAGAGTAATCCCCTTACAATTGTTTCTCTTCGTTTCTGTTTCCCCCCTCTCTCATTCTTAGATTTTCATTCGGGTTTTATCACCCCTATTTTACATAACTTTTCAATAAAATAATACAACTTGTGATGTGATCATAATTTGGATTAGATTTCACATGCATCTTTATCTTTGTGAGTTGGCAATGGTAGGAAACATGTGCTCTGAGGCAGCTTGGTGTAATACTGGGATGAGGACAAAATCTAGGGTCTACAGCTGCCCCTCTTTGCACATTATAATGTAACGACAATAGGGTAAAGATTAAAAAGACAACCAATTTTTGTCCGATTTTTTTTTGTTTTGAGACTTGATACATTTATTGGGGAGTAACTGTAATTGGGCTTCAGACTGAGCATGGAATTGGGCCTTGGTCTTCTTATCGATTAAATACCTCGGCTTGAAAATTCTTCCAGAAGGTAGTTCCTCGTTGCTACCATGCGGTTGATATGCCTCTGAGATGAATGAAATCGAACTCGAAAGTATTGATGTTAGTAGATAACCCTTCTAGCCTTGAGTTATGCTGCAAAAGATGTCTTTAAGCTGAGTGTAATCGAACTCAAAAGGTCTTTTGTTGACAGATAACCCTTCTAGCCTTAAGTTATGCTGCAAATGAGCACGATATCCTTCGTCGTGAAGTTAAAATCGTGAATGACCCCTTCGTTGTGAAGTTGAGCCTCGAATTGGATATCTTTCGTCGTGAAGTTGAAATCTAAGGGTTGCATTGCTGCTGGTGGAGACGATATCCTTCGTCGTGAAGTTGAAATCATGGATGTGTGGGCACGATATCCTTCCGTCGTGGAGTTGAAATCGTGGATCCGTTGGTACGATATCCTTTGTCGTGGAGTTAAAATCGTGGATGGCCCTTTCGTCGTGAAGTTGAAATCCAAACTTATGTTGTTTCGAGTCCAATATCCTTCGCCGTGAAGTTGAAATTGGCTCTGAAAATAGAAAGTTTATTGGCATACACTCCTTTTTTGAGTTGGATATCATTCGTCGTGAAATTGAAATTCAATCTAGAGATGGATGTTGCTTGTGTATATACGATTCCCTTTGTTGTGAAGTTGAAACCGTGAATGTATGGGCACGATATCCTCCGTTGTGGAGTTGAAATCGTGGATATGTTGGTACGATATCCTCCGTCGTGGAGTTGAAATCGTGGATGACCCCTTCGTTGTGAAGTTTGACTTCGAGTTAGATATCATTCGTCGTGAAGTTGAAATCTTCTCTCGAGCAAATTGTGAGTTCAATATCCTTCGCTGTGAAGTTGAAATTGACTCTGAATGAAACTGGAAAATTGTTTGTTGAGTACAATATCCTTCGCTGTGAAGTTGAAATTGACTCTGAATGAAATTGTAAAGTTGTTTGTTGACAGACGCTCATTCGCTGTGAAGTCGAGCATCCACCATCAATTTCTGAATGTGCTTTTGAATCGAGTATCTTTCTTCTTTAAGGTGAAACTTGACTCTAAAAGCTGCAAAAAATATGTATATAAAAAATGATGAATGTGATGATCTTAAGTATGTCTAAGATGCATGCAACATGAATTAGTTTTATCTTCTCGTGCTTTGTCTGCTTGTTCCTACATGTGGAGGAAATGCCTTCAGAAGATATGATCTTTTGCATCAGGATATTGAATCCCCAAATATGCCACAATATTCAATGTTGAATCTCCAAATATGCCCTAACATTTACTGTTGAATCTTTAAAGATACCCCGTTGTTCCTTATTGATTGCTTCAGCACTTATTCTAAACATGAGCTTTGTGTCTAAGAGCCACATGTCAAATACCAAGATCCATTCTAGAGAGAATGTCTTGTTTGAAAAGTGTTTTTCTTCTTCTTTTATTTTCAAAAGTTCTGAAAATGTATTAGAAGAGTTTTGAAAAATGTTTAATCAAAAGTTTTGAAAATATTGCCCCTTTCTAGGTTTCACAATTTAGACAAATCATAAAACTAGAGTTCATTGGACATCAAAGAATTAATTACATTATTAATCCTTCAATAAATTATAGATATTTGACAAGTGTTAAGATCAAAGCTATATTTGAGGGTAAGGAAATGATAAAAAAGTCTCAGGTTATTGTGTTTGGTCAATGATTTGGCCTTCTTATTTCTTTTATGTTCATTGATATGATGGGGTAGCTTGTATTCTCCTCTATTGGATGTGTTCGTCGGCTCCCTGCTCTTATGGTCATGTATTGTGCAATGCCTTATCAAGGAATTTGTGCGATTGCCTCAGCTGCACAATTTTTACATTCAAGCCACCTTTTCAGGTTTTCAACTCGAATCCTCATTTGATTTCAAGACGTCATTCAGAATTTACTTCTTGAACCCCTATTTGTTATTTTTTCTCTATCATGCATTAAAGATTTTAGAAAACTTTTCGCAAATAAAGATTAATCATGATGGACGGGATAAAATCTGAAGATATTATCTTCTGTTCAGAAATTCATGTATGATTAGAAAGGACTTTCAAGGCACGTAATGTAGGCCATGGTTCATGGTTATGAAAGAAAAATGATAAATAGGCCCAAACAAGTGTTTCAAGGTATTGAACCAAGAATCAATTCATTCTGATGTAGTCAATCATGTATTGCTCAATTTGAACTTGCTCGTATGTGTGTCTCTCTTGATGTTATATGATCTTCGAGTGAAGTGATTTAGGAATAATTGTGATTGATCAATCTCATAATTTGAAGCTTGATGCTTCATTTGACTCGAGAATCTTTACATGTGATTCTTAACCCTTTTTCTTTGTTTATTTGCTTCTTTTCTTTTTTATTCTTGTTTATTTCCTCTTTGCACTTGGCATTTGGTTCACCTTTCGGTATATCCTCTGATCTGATGTCTTCACTCATGCGAGCATATTTCTTCCACCTTGCCCCCCAATGTGGAGGGTGATCCTTGGTTAGGGTTGAATCAGAAGAAAAAAATACTATAGGCTCAAAATGGGACAACAAGGGATAAATATATACATATATGGATAAATGAAACAAAGTCGTTCATCATCTCATACACAAAAGTCTTCGCAGAAGAGGTATCTCTAGGGGATAGATTTTCAGGATTAAGTTTTATTCACATGAAAACAATGTAATTAATGCATGATAGAATTATTTCGAAGTAATTCTCTTTTCTGCTTCTTGCTCCCGGCATGCATCAATCGCTCAGGCTCGTCCTCATAAGATT